GTTTTCATGTACCTAGTAGCCAGAACGCACTTCTCAGCCTACTATGTACGGCCCGATTTGCCTAATAAGCCAAGTTTTCATGAATTAATTGCTTTTCGACTACCTAACCTACCTAACCTAACTTTTTCGGCTACCCAACCTAACCTTACCTATAAAGATAGGTTAGGTTAGGTTAGGTAGGGTTGGTTAGGTTCGGTCATATATCTACGTTAATTTTAACTCCGATAAAAAATTGACCTCAAACATAATGAAATGGATAACTTTATCATTTCATAAGAAAAAAAATTAGAGAAAATATATTAATTCATGAAAACTTGGCTTATTAGGCAAATCGGGCCTTGCATAGTAGGCTGAGAAGTGCGTTCTGGCTACTAGGTACGACATATATATATATATATATATATATATATATATATATATATATATATATATATATATATATATATATATATATAGTCGTACCTAGTAGCCATAACTCACTTCTCAGCCTACTATGCAAGGCCCGATTTGCCTAATAAGCCAAGTTTTCATGAATTAATGGTTTTCGTCTGCCTAACCTACCTAACCTAACCTAACCTAGCTTTTTTTGGCTACCGAACCTAACCTTACCTATATATATAGGTTAGGTTAGGTTAGGTAGGGTTGATTAGGTTCGGTCATATATCTACGTAATTTTAACTCCAATAAAAAAAATTGACCTCATACATAGTGAAAAGGGTAGCTTTATCATTTCATAAGAAAAAATTATAGTAAATATATTATTCAGGAAAACTTGGCTTATTAGGCAAATCGGGCCTTGAATAGTAGGCTGAGAAGTGAGTTCTGGCTACTAGGTACGACATATATATATATATATATATATATATATATATATATATATATATATATATATATATACATACATATATATTTATATATATATATATATAAATATATATATGTGTGTGTGTGTGTATCTAACTTTATTTTAAAATTTCATTACACAAAAAGGGTTACAATATTGGTTACATGCAAGGTACAAGACTACTTGTCACAAGTTGTATAGCTCTTCCAGCTCCTCAGATGGCGGGCAGGAACCATGGATGCAGTGAGCATTTCTTCTCTGGATCGCCACACTAAGGCGCTGAAAGAGAAAACTGGCGGCTCTAGGGTCTCTAGTTGTTTCAATTAGCCTGTACCCCAGCTCCTTCAAAAAACTTGCAGCACTTTTACCCCAGGCACCAAGTGTCTCTGAGGCAATGGGGACAAAATTGTAGTGGTGATCAAGGTCTCCGTATTTACGTGACTTTGCTGCTTCTCGGTGATTGGCAGCACTTCCTGCCTGTGCAACACTGAAGTTAACATAAGTGTTGACTAAGGTTGAAACGCAAGTGTAGTCCCACACCAACTGTCTACCATTCTTCCAGTGGTACATCGTGATTTCATCTGGGCGACCGACAGGCTTATCAGAGTTGCGGGCCATTAGGTAACGGAGCTCTCTCTCTGCTGGACAACCGGCCGGGGTAAGGCTTCTCTTGATAATGTCGTTAACCTCGCCGTGTCTTGCATGACATCCTCCTGTCCTTTGGCAGAGAAGGTCATGCCGTCCATACCTGTCGGACACTGCCTCGCCGCAAATACACCTGTATTCGGTGTGGATTGGGGCAGCGAGGCGGAGAGCCACAGCAATTCGGAGGGCCTGCGGTGTGAGACAAGTGCCAGTTGTTGATATTGGGGTTGCTAATAGGAAGTCCCCGGCGTGGAGAGCTACTACAGCTCTAAGTCTGGCAATATCACGTGATGATGTCGCAGCTTCTTGGTCAGCTGCTGCTGACCAAGAAGCTGCTGCTGCATTGCTTATGGGCTTCAGAAAGCAGTAGTTGGGGTGCTGGTCCTACGAGAGAGGACCAGCACCCCATATATATATATATATATATATATATATATATATATATATATATATATATATATATATATATATATATATATATATATATATATATATATATATATATATATATATATATATATATATATATATATATATATATATATATATATATATATATATATATATATATATATATATATATATATATATATATATATATATATATATATATATATATATATATATATAATATGTATATACGTGTAGTATCCAAATAGCTTCCTTGGCACTGATAAGGTTTAAGGAGGCTCTCTATTTAGAGCGGGAGGTTGTGTGGATATTATACTTTAATATATTTTGTTACATATACAATTTTGTACAGCAGCAAATAATATTTAGTTTATTGACCTGCTCGATTTTTTTTTTAGTTTTTATCTTCGTGGTCTTTTAATTATTTTTAAATTGAACTTTTATTGGTGATTTTTTGTTAATTTTACTATGTAATATATTCTTCGAAACATTTCTTGTAAATAAATTCAAGATGTATTTTCATTGAGAGTTTAGTTGATTTTTGTTTTACCCAAAAGTTGTCCTGTTGGTTGTTATGTAAAGATCTTCTGGCGTTACAATTCCTCGCGGACAGCAGGTTTACACCCGACACCTATCCGAGTAGTGGTGTCTCGGGTTGAGAGTAGACTCTACTCGCTAGCGGTACATGTAGCAAGATTCCACTGAAGTGAAGACGGCAACACTGTGTTATTGATATTCCCGGACGCTGGAGGCGCTCTGGCTGTTGCCAACATGGACGCTTGTCTCCATTACTGAGTGAATTTCCGACTTTAGCAACTTAAAGGTCCATTTTGTTACTGTGGATGAATGGAAAGGGTGGGGGAAGATAATGCTGAAAGATCAGATGGGAATTTGAGCAGCATGCGCCAAAATGGTAGGATTTGGATGGTAAAGCGTAAGTTTAGCAGATGGGGAAGTAGGAAAAGCAGCACGAGCAGCAGTAAGAGAAGGAAAATTTGAAGGATGGGCAGCGGCAGGAACATGAAAAGCAGCAACAAGCATATCAGCAGAGCAAAAGGATTATGAAAACAATATTAGTAGTAATAGGAAGCGCATGTTGAATAGTAGCACAAGGAGGGAAGGGGATTGTACGATGGACGGATTGAAGGATGCTGCACGACTGGCAGGGGTAGACGAAGGGAATGATATGGGAGGTGGAGGAGGGAATAATACACGGGTAGATGTAATGATATGGGGGGATCTCGGTGGAATAATAAGGGACCTGATGAAATGATAAAAGGGGTTTGGAAGCATTGATGAGGGATCCGAGAGAATGGGAGGGGCGATGGGAGGACATTGGTGAATGATGCGAAGAAGGAAGAGGAGGGAGTGGTGAATGTGTGTGTGTGATAGAAAAATGGAGGAGTAACAAACGAAGAAACCAGTAAATTAGAGAGAAAGATAAGTATAACAAGAGAAGTGAATTGGAGGGAAGAATGAGAATAGGAACAGGGAGATGGAATCTCGACGACAAAATATATGAGAAAGTGGTGACGAAGAGAAGAGATATTAAAAATGCGGGGAGAGGAGTTGAGGTGGAAAATAAGAGGAGGATCGGAGGATCTTGAAAATGGAGTTTATGTTTGTTCCAATTGTAAAGTGAAATTAGAGATGAAGGAAAAGAGCTGGAAGAAAATAAGATGAAGAAGATAAAAAGAAGGTTAAAGAACAATATTTAGTAAATTGGAGAGGTCAGAGAGAGAAAGTGTGTCTCATACTTGTATAGCTATAAAGCTCCAGGCATCTAATGCATTGGCTCTAAAATCATTAATTGATAAAGATTAAACCACTCAAGAGGTGGCCTGGGCATGACTAGCGTGTAAGTAAAATCATTGATTATTGGTCCTACAACTCTCTCATAGAGTTTACCAGCTGTTGCTCAGGTTGGGGATATTTGTTTCCTGAAGATACTTATAATGAGTACCAATATCCTAGCTTTATTCTGTAAATTACTATATTCCATTGTCTAGTGAACGCCTTGTCTGTTCGTATATAGAGTTCTCAATTTTAAAGAGCGTAAAAGATTGTTAAAAACAGTGTTAAATAAATTGGTTTAAATAATCCTGATTATGCAGTTTTATGTTACATATATGGCACCGCGTTAATGATAAAGCTAAATGGGATACTATAACAACTTGAAAATTTTGTAACAATGAGAAAAGGTGTCATTTAGTAATTGTTAAAATCTTTAACTATTCTATGTTTATTCAGCATATATTAGATGAACCTTTGCATCCACATCTCAGTTCTCAACTTCACGGTTATTGATGATTAAAAAATACTCATTTACCATACTTATCTGATAATCATTTGCAGAATAAAAAAAACACTAAAATATGTTCTAACAATTAAAATTGTGCTATATAATAAAAATTTCCAATAATATAAACTAAACGAAAGTATAAAAATTCAGTTTTATCATATACTTGATAGAACATCTCAGAAAACATCTTAATAGAAATATTTTTTTTTCAAAATTTCAGCAAATGTTATTGAATTCCAGTTGAAACGAAAAAATAACTCCAGTACACTGTTTTTACCTTTATATATGTAAAATCTAATCAGAACTGTCAAATATTACAGTTGTCTAATTGTTCCAATTTATTCATATTAATGAATAAAAACTGATTTTTTTTTTAGGGCCAGAGTAATAATACCATGGACAAGAGAGAGAGATTCCAGGATGCACACACTCACAAACTCATAGACGCACATACGCACAGACCTGAAGAGACAGTGAAGCAATAACTTACAGACTTTAAGGTTCAAAATCCAAATTCAAATTTATTTTTCATTAAAATCTCGAAATCAACCAAAAACATGCACAAATATCTGGTTTGGTGCACACATATATAAATTGGGCCAAACCTGCTTTAAGTCGCTAGGGGCCGTTAGATCAGTTAAAGATAAGTTAAACGAGGTTAGGTTAGGTTGGGGATGTCGTAATGTACAAAATTGATCAAGGTCTTTGCTGCTATAGATATCTGTACAGAAAAAGTAGTCTAAGGTTGCATTATTTTAGCATATGAACATAGACTAACAAGATAACTTCTTATTTCAGTGGAGCTGAGTTCAGTAGCCGGATCAGGAGACGGCATGCCAGGTATGTTTTCACACTTTACCATTAGTTATTTTGTACTCTGAAATGAAGAAACTATTTTTTAATTACTGCCGAATACCTTGTTATATATTATAATACCTTGTTATATATTTTAAGTTTATTATGCTATTATAACGGAATTCACTCTAACGGTATTCGTATTAGTGTCTTTACGAGAATGTACCTAACTTAATAACAACTGTATCCACATGAATTAAATTGTAATATCAACTATATTTATGAACTTTATTGTACATACATACATACACACCTTATCAAATCATATTATGGGCTTTCTTATCAAATCTTTGATATTGTTATCAAGTATTATGTGCTTTCTTCGTACATTAAGGTCTAATCCCCCTCTAAAGGAAAATACTGATCATTCTTAGGATGCAACTCACAATAGTTTTCTACCTTGAGAGGTTCCTATTTGCTGCTGGGTGAATGAAGGCATCGGGTGAAAGGAAACGTTGCACAAATGCTTCTGTCCTGTAGCCAGATCTTAACCCGAGCTCTATCTGCTGTTTCAGTCATGAACAGCGGCAACATTTGAATAATATTATGAGAATGATCTGGAACTTTACCCTGGCGCCAGAGGTTTTCTTTTTGTTTCTCATGGAAAATGAGTCATCTGCCACTAATTTAGAGAGCAATGGATGTGTCCACAGAAGTGGTTCACATGCGCCCCACACTCACGTCAGACATCTACAACATATCACCACTATTATAATGAACACATCCAGCAAATGTCTATGCATTTATGGTGTGAGGGATCTTAAGACTGTAGACTACCCGCCAATGTTAAGTGCCAAGTCGGGTATCACCCGAAACACAAAGAGTTGCATTTCAGTTATACTCGGTATTTTCTTAGTTCACGCTCCAAAATGTCTCTCCTCGCAATGGATAAAGAATAGATAGATAAACGTGTATGCCTCTTTCTTCCATATCCTAAGCATATGCGTTTTAGCATTGGTGATTTGCAACAAACTGGCATTCATCGTGATCCTCAAAGGGTGCTGAGAAGTTCTTAAAAGAAGTTTTGTTTAGTGTGATATTTATTTGCTAATGACATAGTTATATATTTTATGTTTGAACTATTTATATATATGTTCACAAAAACATTACAGAATTAATATGCTATTATGGACTTGGATGTACACGGTTATCTATACAAAACTTATCAGCGACAGATTTTAAGAAAAACGAGAAACAGAACTACTAGTGGAGGCAATTCAATTACAGTTGTTACTCCGAGTCTAGACAGCGAGACATACGTCCAGACTGACTGACTCTTCCTCTGCTGCTACACGATTCCAATGGCTCCGCTCTTTCTGCGTCTGTAACTGTGCTTGTGTCTGCACCCTTGCCTTCGTCTGTGTCTGAATCTGTCTTCCTCTATGTCTGAGCTTGTTTCTGTGCCTGAATTTAATTTCAATAACACGTTATGATACACTGTAATTGTGTTTGTGTACATGAATTAATAAGGGACTATGGCCAGAATTTGATCCTTTACCTAGCGGAAATGGTTTCATCAAGTCAGTCTTATATTGACACTCAGATGAACACATCCACGCCTATTAAATGCGATTGAATACTCATATATATACATACAAACACGTCTGTATATATATGAGGATTTACAGAGTAACTAACTCATGTTGTTTTATAACCCTCAGCACCCAAACGTGATAGTTTTATATTCTGGTGATCGACATTAGACAAGATAGAGAAGTGTAGGTTCATTTAGTTGTTTGAACTGTTAGGAAGCTTATGATACATTAACCCATGGAAGACTAGCATAATAATAACAATAATAATAATAATAATAATAATAATAATAATAATAATAATAATAATAATAATAATAATATAAACATAATAATAATATGCAGGCGCTGCAAGGAACATCCTCAAGTGTATAAAGTAGTACACCGGCATTATAAAAAAGAAGAGGGACGGAGAGGTAGAACAGAAGAGGTGGGATAAAAGCTATATATAGTATGAATGGTGGGAAACAGAGGTGGAGGAGATGGGATAAGTGAAATAATGAAGAGCTAAAGAGTAAACATATGGAGTGAGGATCGTTATGATGGAGGCATGGTCGACAACCAAATAAAATTGAGGTTAAAACTAGAATTGAGTAAAGAAAGGTAGATAGTGGAAAAGGTAGAGGATGAATAGAAGAACGAAGATAATTATTATGAAAAGGTGGGTGGAGGGGCTTGCTGGATGCTGAATGACTAGTCATTGAAGACCACATTTGAAAGCGCACTTTCAAAACACTTAAACGAAGATAATTAAAGGTGTAGGAAAATTAAGAATAGGACGTGGATGGGCGCCAGAGCAGAGGAAACGCGAGGGAGGCATAGATGAGAGATGCAGGAGGAGAGAGTAAGGGCCTGGATGAGAGATGCAGCAGGAGAGAGTAAGGGCCTGGATGAGAGATGCAGCAGGAGAGAGTAAGGGCACGGATGAGAGATGCAGCAGGAGAGAGTAAGGGCACGGATGAGAGATGCAGCAGGAGAGAGTAAGGGAACGGATGAGATATGCAGCAGGAGAGAGTAAGGGCACGGATGAGATATGCAGGAGAGAGTAAGGGCACGGATGAGATATGCAGGAGAGAGTAAGGGCACGGATGAGAGATGCAGCAGGAGAGAGTAAGGGCACGGATGAGAGATGCAGCAGGAGAGAGTAAGGGCACGGATGAGAGATGCAGGAGGAGAGAGTAAGGGCACGGATGAGATATGCAGCAGGATAGAGTAAGGGCACGGATGAGAGATGCAGGAGGAGAGAGTAAGGGCACGGATGAGAGATGCAGGAGGAGAGAGTAAGGGCACGGATGAGAGATGCAGCAGGAGAGAGTAAGGGCACGGATGAGAGATGCAGCAAGAGAGAGAAGGGCACGGATGAGAGATGCAGCAGGAGAGAGTAAGGGCACGGATGAGAGATGCAGGAGGAGAGAGTAAGGGCACGGATGAGAGATGCAGCAGGAGAGAGTAAGGGCACGGATGAGAGATGCAGGAGGAGAGAGTAAGGGCACGGATGAGATATGCAGCAGGAGAGAGTAAGGGGGAACGCCGGGGAAGTCACGGTAGGGAAGAAGGCAGATCGATTGCATTTTGTGGTTGTCGTTTCGCGCTGACATACGATGAGAGGGTAGATAAGGGGAGTTGTTGATAGGGGTGAAGGTAAGATTAACCTGAGGGGATGGCGGAAACAGAAAGAGGCAGTGTGGAGAGTGAAAGATTGATAAAGTGTATGAAAAAAAGACGTAATCAACAATATATTGAGAAAGGCGACAATGGGAGAAGAGTTTCGAAATAGAAGATTAAGGGTAACGGAGTGGAGAGGAATGAGTGGAAAGTGAGATGGATAAGAGAGAGAGAGAGAGAGAGAGAGAGAGAGAGAGAGAGAGAGAGAGAGAGAGAGAGAGAGGAAAGAATCAATACGAGTGGGTCATGCGAGGGGGATGGGAAAATATTGGCGAGACAGATGTTTAGATAGGTGGATGGGGAAGAAGAAGAAGAAGAGTGATCACAAACCTAAGTGGAGCAATATTCATATAATTCGTTACATTGGGGACAAGAAGCCTGTGCATGTCTGTACGTTATACATGAATCGAGGACACCCCCTCGGTCGAACTACTGACTTTCCCCAGAATGCAATAATACAAGAATTACCAAACTCTCTGATACCGTTTTCCTGCTAGGCGAATTAAGGCATTAGATAACAGGAAACGTGTCCAACCATTTCTGTCCATCCCGAAAATCAAGCCCTAACTTCCAGATTGTGAATCGAAGACTAATCATTGATTTGCCTCTTTAATTGAAAATGTGGTTAATGCATATGCATGTACACGTGGGCATTGTATATGAATGTGTATGTATTATATGTTTGTGTACGAAGCTATTGAATATGAGTATGTGTACGAAGATATTTTATGTGCATGTATATGTATGTGTACGAAAATAGTGTATATGTGTATGTTGATATTATATATATGTATATGTTGATATTATATATATGTGTATGTTGATATTATATATATATGTGTATGTTGATATTATATATGTATATGGAGACATTATATGTATGTATATGTGGATATTTTTTATGCATATGTACGTGGATATTTGTATGTATATATATTTGAATATTCTATATGTGTGTATACACTAAAATTAAGCTCCCTTATCCTATCCTTATATCCAAATTCACTTTCTTCGCTCCTTTGGAAAACTTTAACTAGATTTTCTTAAGTTGTCTTAAGAGAGAAGAACTTCAGGCTAATGCAGCACATTAGAGTTTCCCATCGAGTGTAGCTAGAAGGTATATATATTATATACTGTTATGGAGGTTTGAAATCAAAGTCTGAATAAAGGCCTTGAATGTTTCAAATCGAATCATGTCAGTTAGTAAATATTTAAATACTCCCACCCAAGAATTGTTTGGCATCTGCACTGGTACCAATATACTGTAAATCATTGCGAAAATTTTTAATTTGAATAATCAATATATACTGTATCTCTGTCCTGGATGGATAGTTATAAGGTCACTGCGCCAAAACAGGAGCACATATATAAATAATTCACTTGAATTTTGTGCCCCTTCAATGGTTATCCATAGATATCGTTGAAAACCTATCAAGGAGTCCCTTGCCTGAACTCTCGAATGAGTGTTGTCAACGTAAACAATCGGTTCAGTTGTATTACAAAATTAATCACTCTCTCTCTCTCTCTACAGGAATTTTCAATACTTCTACTGAAAAAATTATATCTTGCTCTTGATTCTTACAGGACAGACTGTTGCTCTTTCGACCTTAGAATTCAAAGTTATGCCCTGACACTGCAATGAAACAGTTTATAATTATCTTGTACATATAATTAACAGTTGTTTAAAACGAATTCCTGTGTATATTCTTGAACAACATTTTTTTTCTACCCAGTTGAAATCCATTATTGCAGGAAATGACAAAATTCGCTTATTCGTAACAACCTGCT